TAGTTCGGAGGTATATTTGTCCTTTTTCCCAAAAAAATAGATTTAAAATCTATGCTTATATAAATTTAATTGCAAATCCTATTTGAACATGGATTAGATAAATTAAGAAACTATTTACTCTTTAATAATTTTAATTTTCTATAACTTAAAATTATTTTAATTAATTATTACAGGATATGGTGACAGCTGGAATGGATACAGTGGCTATAACTGTTGAATGGGCTATGGCTGAATTAGTCAAGAACACAAGGGTTCAACAAAAAGCCCAAGAAGAGTTGGACCGGGTTATCGGGTCGGACCGGGTCATAACCGAATCCGATATGTCCAAACTCTCCTATCTACAAAGTGTAGTTAAAGAATCACTAAGGTTACACCCTCCAACTCCACTAATGCTCCCTCACTTGGCTAGTGCTAATGTCAAAATTGGTGGTTACAACATTCCTAAGGGTACAATCGTACATGTTAATGTATGGGCACTTGGACGAGATCCTAAAGTATGGAAGGATCCTTTGCAATTTAGACCTGAAAGATTCATTGAAGAGGATATTGACATGAAGGGGCATGATTTTCGACTTTTACCTTTTGGTGCTGGTAGACGTATTTGTCCTGGTACAAATCTAGCTATCAATATGGTTACTTCTATGTTAGCTCACTTGTTACACCATTTTGAATGGTCTCCACCTATTGGAATTGAGCGCGATGACATTGACATGTTGGAGAGTCCTGGAACTGTTACTTATATGCAAACACCTCTACAAGTTGTTCCTACTCCTAGATTGCCTCTACACTTATATGAACGCGGTCCTATCGTTATATAACATCTTATCATGATGTTACACTTTTTCTTTTCTTTTTTTTTTTACTCTTTTGTTTTAATGTTGTTTGACATGCTCTTGGACTTAACTAATTTATTGTTATTTGAAATATGATGGTAATTGTAATCTATACATTTATGAGGGATAAATGTAATCGTCGTTCCAAAAGTACAAATGTGAAATATAATTTCAATGTTGTTGTATTCTGAAACGTTTTCTTTTACTACTAAGGTTGAATCATGATTTTGATGATTAACAAATATGATAGTTCGGTTGGTTAACTACAAGCTAAAGGACCT